TATGTACACACCTGCTTACCCCTACCCAGATCAACATGTTGAACTTTCCCATTACTCCAGAAACTTTCACTAAGCCCCTTGCTAGTCAACTCCTCCTCTCCAACATTAGGTACACTAATTTGACTTCTATCAAGCTGGCTACATTTGCCCTTTCTTGACCTTCATATAAATGGAATACAGTGTATACTATTCTGTGCCAGACTTCTTTCATCTAATCTGTCTTTAATACTCATTTGCATTATTGCGTGTATCAGTAATTCCTATTTTGCTTTTTTACTATGTGTTTCATTGCATGAACTTACAACTGACTTTCCCTATGAACACTTGTGGAGATTTTCTCTTGGAAATTCCTACTCCTCCTTCCCCACCAGTAGTAATTCCAGTTGTAGCATAGAAATAGTTTTAAACTTTCTTAAAAACTCCATCTGTCCAAAGTAGCTGTACCATTTTACATTCTCGACAGAAATGTAGGAGTCCCAGTTGTTTCTACATCCTTGGTATTGTGTCTACTTGTCATTATATTGGCTATATTGTGTTATCTTATTTGTGGTTCTAATTTGTATTGCTAACCATGTTAAGCATCTTTATATACGCTTTTTAAAATAGCGTTTAGGTCATTGCCTGTTTGTGTGTATATTTAATTACACATCCTGTCAGATATATTGTAAATATTTTCTTGCAGTCTGTGGCTGCATTTTTGTTTTTCATTTTGAGGGTTTTTTTCTTAATGATTGGTGCTTTTTGTGGACTCAATCCCTGCCTACTTCAAGGTTGCAAAGATACTCCATTTTTTCCCAGAAGGTTTGCAATTTTTAATTTTTACCTTTAGACTCATATTCGTTTTGAGTATGGTAATGGCTCACTTTTCATACTGATATCCAGTTGCTCTTATGGGGGCAGGGACAACAACAACAAATCACTACATAACTTAGGAAAATTCAGATCAAATAGCCTAGGCCACTAAAACACCTCAGAGTAAGTTCATACAATGGAGATCAATCTTACTGGATAACCTTGAAAGGTAAGATCCAGAAATAGTGATTGAAAGTGGGCCTTTTATCCTTGACAATGAAACACTTAAGGAATCGAGGTGCTTTGTTAGTGTGAGACTGGGACACAGAAAACAGGAGTCTAGCACTCAATTTTGTTGAGCTGGACATGATGAGATCCTTCAAATGAGGCTAGGCTTAGAATCCTAGGTCTACCACTAGTTTCAAAATGTCAAGATATTTAAAAAACAACAACAGTATTTATTGAGAGAGCACACACAGGCATGAGCATGGGGAGGGGCAGGTGGAGAGGGAGAGGAAAAGGGAGTCAATCCCCAGCAGGCTCCACACCCAGCGTGGAGCCTGCCTGGGGGTTCATTCCCATGACCCTGAGATCATGACTCAAGCCAAAACCACAAGTCCGACACTCAACTAAGCCACCCAGGCACCCCTCAAAACACTTTTTGTGTAAATTCCCAGGAGAAAATATAAGAAAATGGGTTATTTCTCCTGATGGGCTACTAGAACACTTTGATCTTTGTTTCAACAAGGAATGCCCCTCCCCAAATCAGCCTGTCAAGTTTGTTTCAAAGTTTGGTTTAAACACTATTTTTCTCCAACCAACCTTTCCAGATCTTTCTAAAAGAATCAATCACCATAACACTTCCAGAGAACATGACATCCCTGAGGTTCACCTAAGACACACTGAACCTAGTAAGTTTGACTTGCTATGTTGTTACAAAGATGCTTTGGTGAGGGGGAGAAAGAAATCCAGTGCTTCCCTCTGGACCTCAGAAGTAACCTAAGGCTCTATACAGATCAGCTTCAAAAGCAGTTCACTGCTCCAATTCATATACTTAGTTCTATTTCTTATTAATCGTCCAGTATGTTTCGCCCTGAGCGAATCCCCACAGATCTTTCCTCTAAACTGTCTTTTGTTACTCATTCCAGTGTTCATCCCAAAGGCTGTTGAATAACCTAGTGTAGTAAATAAACACAGAACTAAGATTCAGAACACCAAGTCAAAAAAAGCCCACTGTGACTAATAACCCTCCTAAATACCACTTGTCTATTCACCCTATCTATAGGCTGTTGGAAAACCACATGAAATCACACTGTATAAACATAGCACTCTATGAATTTAAATTACTGAACTAGTTCCATATATATTAAGGTAGACAGTTGGTTTGTGCAATGCAAAAAAATTAGGAAAATAAAGGAAATCATTTAACTACACTTTGTTTTCTTGCCTATCAGTTGTGTGGATGTCACACTTGAACCTTAAGAAATCATACACTCACAAATTCCCTCTATCACGGTTTGTAATACTCAGTAATAAACACACATACACCAATTTAAACCTGGGACAGTAAGCAGAATATGCTTGTCATACCAACCTCAATGATTATTTTGCCAATGTCCTCACCTCACCATTTCAGTCTTCAGTGGAAAGTAGTCCAAAAGCTTTAATGTCGGGGAAAAGGGACATGACAAATTTGCCCTGGTTTCCTCACCTACCAAACTAGGTGATGTTTGATGGTAGCTACAACTTGTGAAAAAACAGACAAAATGTAAAATGGATAGGTACTATAGAACACTTATATCTGTGTCAATTGTTTCAACCTACCGTATGTGGATTCATTTGGTTATTCTAACAAGTTTCTAGCCCTTTAACTTTTAATATTCTTAACTTTCTGAAAGGCGAAAACCAAAACTAACACGAAGTCATGATGTTAAAAAATCATTACAACCGGGGAGTGGGAGGAATGGGTAACCGGGATGGGTATTAAGGAGGGCACGGGTGGTGGTGAGCACTGGGTGTTATACGCAACTAATGAATCGTTGAACAAAACTAATGATGTAAGATAAAATGTCAAAAAAAATCATTACAACCTCTTTAGGCTCAAAATTTTCAGATATTCTTTGCAAACTGGATGTTTTGATACATGGAAAGTATGGTACCTAAAAATCAATAAACCTGTGGAATATATAGCAGAACAGAAATATCTTACTGACCTAAGAGGGAATCAGAGAACTTGACCTTCTGTTTCCTATAGAGATATCACTATGTCTAGCAGATCGGAGCCTAACACTCAACTTGAAAATGACAATGCACTTTTGTTCTTCACATAATCCTAAGAAAGTGTGATTACATTCTCACCAAACCAAAATATTAGAATACATTATAGGAAAAAACCCCCATATTTTCATAAGGATATTTAAATTTTTTAATTTTAACAATTCAATTAAAATTCAGCTAGTTAACATAAATAGAATAAATGCACATAATTTACAGCCATGTACACAAAATGTGAGAATAGCAAACCTCACATCAATGGTCAAAAGATATCAACTCTTTTGATTATTTAGCTGTGACTAATAGATCATAATTTAACTGTTCACATATGAGGGGTACACAAATGTTTATTAACATAAAAACTGAGTGAAACTAGAATTTTCAGTTTCTAAAAGGAGTAGCATAAAAAGCAGTGTATAGATTAACAAGAAATATAAGTGCATGATGGAGAAGAGACTTGAGTGGGCAGAAAGTTCGCACATTGTAGGAAATATTTTCATGTAATTAAAATTCCTTCTAATTTAAATCATTCAGAAATACTTTATTCTTAGGAATGTTTAAGTCATGATCAGTAGACAGGCTCAACTATTATATTTATCAGCCCAAAAGGGGTCCCTACAGTACTAATAGTCTGGGCAGAAGAGTATGTAAACAACAAAAGACAGGCATGAACAATGCTAGAAGAATAAAGGATAGATTCATTTCCAGCACTTAAATCCTTCAAGTTCAAATCAGTATTTTTCGTGGCTTAAAACAAATCTAAAAATGCTGACATGTTTATACTCTAGTAAAAGAGTAAACACTCATTATTTTTAACACCCTGGTCCTAATACATAATGCTATTCCACAATGGGCATTAGGTTTTAGGAGACAAAAGGCTGGATTAAATAATCTAACAATATTCTATCCTGGTTTCAAAGTGACAAATAAATTACTTGTGAGCCCCATCTAGTAAGTTGGTTCCACAAAATTACATACGTAATGAAAATTAAGACAAAGCTTTGGTGATACAGTTTTCTTTTTTTCTGGATTCAAAAGCACGGTATTACACCCCACAGTCACACGGTTGGTAATTCTCAGATTTGGACTTTGAAATTTAGGAAATGTCTATGAGCCAAAGGTACCAAAGTTCTATCTGCTGCTCTGTGAGGCATACTCTTTCAGTATCTACTGCTTTAACTTAAGTGCAACTCAATTTCCTGATAAAATTCTCTAATAAAAGTACAGACAAATCCAAAGAGTGCTGCCGATCTCTATACTAGAAATAAAAAGTCATCTGATAGAAAATAGATGAAAACAAAAGTTTAAAAAAAATTAATTCTTTAAATATGCATTTTTCTTTTTAAACATTTGCATCAATTAAAAAAATCTCCAAAGAAATGTTCCAGAGACAAATTTTATATACAACTTTTATAGTTTTCTTTTTTAAATTATCTGTCACACATAAAGTAAACTATGGCAGATTGTGCTTTGGAAAAAAAAATTAAAATAAGCTTCATTGCTCCTTTCCAGTTGTTGCCCAAAGAAACAAAATCTAAGACTCTAAGATCTTTTCTTCCAGTACACAGAGAATACTCACTTTTAAAAGCTGAATATAATGCACTAAAGGTCAACATAAGTTTTATTTGCTAAATACAAACAAGACGAGAATACATGTTCATCCTTGAAGGACACTTACTATGAATCTGCTAACACTAAATAATAAGATGTTCCGTAGCTGCTGGTTTTCATATCATTCTTAGTCATTTGTGGTGTAGTGAGATCATTAACATTAGGGAGAACCTGTCCTACATTCAACACAACGTATGTTCATGAATCTCTGCAAGGCAAATGGCACTGTATTAGGCAGTGTAAGTGGCACCTGAAAAGGCAAACACTATAGATGAGACTTGCTCTACAGATTTAAGTTAGAAACCCCTAGATTTTTTTTTTTTGGCTTGTTTCTCACAATAAATGTCAAAGCTAAAATTCACCATAAAAGGTACAAATAATCCCAAAGGTAATGAAACTAAATTTGCCTTTGGTCTCCAAATAGATTGGAATATTTTTTAATTCCAATCGAAGCACCTCAAAAACATCCAGTTACTGTTGATTATAAGGAGTTAAGAAAGTGAAGGAATTTAAGAGTGCACTGTGTTTCACTGGTGACAGCAGAGAAAACTTGCAATGACGTGCTACAGTTTTCTGTGTTAGGGGCATTAGTGTGTACACAGAATACATAAAACATTTATATTATTAAAGATCTCCAAAACACCATATCTAAAACCCAGAAAAATGGTTTGAACATGGTTTCTGCCTAATACATGACCAATGTTTAAAAAAAAAACAATCTTAACATGGAATTCTCTACTCTCACCCCTCCTCCAAAAAAAGGCCACAAAGTGCATTCACAAGGAGTCATTCTTAAGATAAAGCCATTGCACAAAATGTACAGTTCATCTATACTGAAATGAGTACCACACTGGAGTTTAATTGTAGATGTTTTATACACCAGTATAGCAACATCCATAAGCAAAAGTCTCTTAACAGAATTACAGCAAACATCTTCATAAGGGCCATACATATATACATTTAAGTATTAAAAGGTACAGTTAAACTCAACAGCAAAATGTAAAAGCTATATCCTGTTAGCACACTTAATCTGAATTAACTTGAATCTTTCTATGATTTACCATTCAAGAATCACAGGATAGCATAAATTTCTTGTCAAAAGCAGTTTGTTCATTTACAAACTGTGGTCAATTAGGATCACACTACCTGCTCAATCAGATAGCAGAGAGCCCCCTCTTCTATGTTTATACTGCCCCAGATATGTATAATGTCACCTTAAAAAAGAAACCTATTATGGCAAAGCTGAAAATTACCATTTTCTCTACAAAATAAATGCAATCTATACTGATCTTCTGGAAATAATTCAATGGTTCAAATTCCTAACGTAAAGGCAAACAGAAAAAGATTCAGAAGTGGTGAATTCTTTCCACTTTAAGAAAATGATACCTAGGTATGACAGATGATCATTCAAGTTTGTAACTAATAAATCACTGACAAGACAACCCCATTCGTTCATGTATTGTAAAGTTAGAGAAGATATGAGGACGTGCTCAAGTTATTCAAATGGCCAAGAATCAACATTTCATGGTTTCTTCTGTCCCAAACTATTACCACTCAGCTTGATATGTTAATGAACAATTTAAGTGTCCACATTATGCTCAACATCAAGCACCTGTTAGCAGTGGAAACCAAAACATTTTAAAGCTAAAAATACGCAAGATCTTTAGACATTATTTCATTAGTTGTCAAAACTAGTGACTATTAATGCCAAATAATTAATTTTAAAATATTCCAGATCCTCAAGGAAATGGGAAAATAATACTAAGGATCTCACTTACTCTTATTTTACAATTTTACAGAAATTACACAGATGCCAGAGGTAAGACATTTATGACTGTCAATACTATCTTTGGATAGTTATAATATTTATACAATTAGGGATGGCTTTGTTTAGAAGACTGGAAAAAGTGCTCATGGAACACACACTATACTCTGACTGCCATAAATCAACAAAATGCAACTGTGTCCTGTGGACATGGTAGAGAAAATGGCAATTTGGAGGCAGGAGTGCTTCTAAAGGCTTTTTCTTAGAGGCAGCCTAGGTTTGTTTTTTTTTTTTTCCCTTCACATTACTGAAAAAGACCAAGTAATGTGGTTATGATTACTTTAATTCCTACAACCAAACTTCCACTTAGGCATAGTTACATGTTCCCAAACTTTTTTCTTCTGTCCACCATGCTGGCTTCAATACTGCATGGTCCACTGTAATCTTTTGGTCTTCCCTCTTCATAGTACAGCAGCCTGAAGTTGCTATCCATTGAGAAGGTAGACCACCAATTCATAGGTGGCCATCATAATGGCTGTGTTTGGAATCTGTCTCACCAGATGAGTTGTTAGACCACGGTAAAGAGACCCATAACCTTCTTCTTGAACCACCAAAGACAGTGTCTGAAAAAAAGATCTATATTTTGTTCCCTCTTCACGTAGTCTTGTTCTTACAACTTCTGTTTGGGGGGGAAAAAACGTCATTTTAAAAGCATTAGTGATATCTTTATTCCCTCCTAATGCTGAGCACATCCCATTTACCAGTCTTTAAGTGTAAGCTCAGAATAAATATGGGAGTGATTTTTAATGTGTAACTTACTGAAACTGGTCTTATTACAGTAACACCAAACTTCTAAGACAGCTGGCTAAAATCACTAATAATAAATACTAATTATAAAATTTCATAGGTTCCTGAATGGTTGAAGAATAAAACAAAAGTGTCAGTTGTACACTAGATATAGATAAAAGGGAAAATACATGTGGTAAGGAAAAGGTGAAGAAACAGAAAAGGGAATGCAGGTGGTTATCAAAGATGAATACACAAAGATATATGAGAAATAAACATAAAAGCTCGTAAGTGGACCCCACAATGAGAAAATAGAAGCGACTGCCTTCGGCTCGGGTCATGATCCTGGAGTCCCGGGATCGAGTCCCGCGTCGGGCTCCCTGCTCAGCGGGGAATCTGCTTCTCCCTCTGACCCTCCCCCCTCTCATGCTCTCTCTCTCTATCTCATTCTCTCTCAATAAATAAAATCTTTAAAAAAAAAAAAAAATCTATTCACAATGGTCCACAGATACCAACATGAAATTTTATGTACATAAGCCTAAAAATGTTCAAAACACTAGCTGTTAGCTAAAAGGCCCCATCTGGGAAGGAACTAAACAAAAATCATAAAATTTTAGAGCTCTTAAGAGATATAAAAAGATTATGGCTAGTCCATTATTTCTTAGTTTTGAAAGGTGAGGAAATCGGACTGCTGCGAGGTTTCAGTCAGTTGGGGGTAGAGGCTGGGACACAATTCAGAGCTCTCTACTGAAGAGTCTGCTTTTCCAACACACTACTCCTGCTGGGCCTGAGGTAAATGGCCTAGAACTAGAACTATTTTCACCGCAAATGTTAATATTTGAAATCTCTTGTGTCCTATCTTAAAAACTCATGCCATTTATATATTCCATTCAAAATATTGTTTATAAACTACCTCTTCGTATAAAGACATCATCTCACTTGAGGGGACAGGGTGCTCTTACCCTTAGCAGCCCACAGTTTTAGGTATCCCACTGTAGCCAGGACCTAAACAATGCTGCTCATACTGTCCTCTTTTGACTTTTTTTTTTTTTTTAAAGATTTTATTTATTTATTTGAGAGACAGAGAATGAGAGACAGAGAGCACGAGAGGGAAGAGGGTCAGAGGGAGAAGCACACTCCCCGCCAAGCAGGGAGCCCGATGTGGGACTCGATCCCAGGACTCCAGGATCATGACCTGAGCCGAAGGCAGACGCTTAACCAACTGAGCCACCCAGGCGCCCCTCTTTTGACTTCTCTTAAAGAAAGAAGTTAGGAACTTCCCTCGGGAAATGGAGATAAGTTCACAGTCCAACTTGGTTAGAGTTGGTCTTACTCATAAATTACATTTTAGAGCAAATACTCATTTCCTCCTCGCCCTGTTTCATTTGTCTTGATAATAGCTTTAATCACAGGGCCTCAGATTTACAAGGATGAATGTAAATGTTAATCAGTGTAACAAAAGTGAAGCGTTTAGATTAAAAACCCAAAGCGGGTGCGCCTGGATGGGTCAGTTGGTGTAGTAGCATGCAATTATTGATCTCAAGCCCCATGTTGGGTGTAGAGATTACTTAAAAAATAAAATCTTAAAAAAAAAAAAGATCCCTGAGGCTCAGTCAGTTAAATGTCTGCCTTCGGCTCAGGTCATGATCCCAGGGTCCTGGGATTGAGCCCCGCATCGGGCTCCCTGCTCGGCTGGAAGCCTGCTTCTCCCTCTCCCTCTGCTGCCGCTCTCCCCCTGCTTGTGCTCACTCTCTGACAAATAAATACAATCTTAAAAAAAAAAAAAAAAAATCCAAAGCAAAACAAACCCCCAACACAACAAAATCAAAGGCTACACTTAAGCAAAAGTTACAAAAAAACCTCAGCATCTCGCACACAAATTTTTAAGTGATTTTGTTATCTATTAATGAAACAGGCTAACACTATAAAACTTCCATTAAAGATGGAAATAAATCATTCATATATACTTATTTGGCAACTTATAATCCTTTGGGATTACAGACTCCATTTCAAATTTGGGCTCCTCCACTGAGTAAACATGTGTGACCTTCGGCAACTTAGAAAATGAAGACAAATTCTGGTTACATTCTAGCATACTTAGACTTAAACAGAGAAGGTAAATACTTTGCAGGAATTTTTTGTAGATTAGCAATAATGTATATAAAGTATCTAGTACACCATCTATATCCATACCTTTTTTTTTTTTAAATTTGCCCAAACATCACCTGGCTGGAATCTGATGGACTCTGGTCTAAAATGTGATGGTCCAGAGTGCATGCTCAATCTTCATCATGCTGCTGTAATATATACTGACCTACTAAAACAGTTACTTACACAGATTTAATCCCATTATGATGAGCTCCTAAGAACTGTATTCTGTTTTACTGAATTCAATAAAAATTATAAATGCTGTAATAAATGGGTCATTGGCTGATGTGGGAAAGTTATTTCTAAATTAATGGAATTTTACTCCCAGAAGCCCACTTCCTCTTACCATGTGGATAAGCTAGAGTTGTGGCACAAGTTTTTGAGGTGGCAGCAGCTAGCATCATTCCCACAAAATCGGATGCTTCTTTTACAGACTCTTCATCATCTTCCATTGTAGAAGCAATCTTATATTCCAGTAGTTTTTGCTTAATACTTTCATAAATAACAAAATGGATAACGGTCTCTGATATGCCAGCATATGACGCAGACATGCCCCTATAAAATCCTCTAAGTCCATCTGTCTGATACACTTTACGAATACATTCAAAAGCGCCCATTCGCTTTTCCCCACGGTTCCTGAAAAGCAAAAAGGAAAAATGTTACTTACAAAGTAGTATAGGTTTTTAAAATAAAGTCAGTAAAATATAGTGGAAATATGCCACTCTAAATATAGAATGATCCTCTCTAACTCATGGAGAAGTGAAACCAGAATTTTAAAACATTCATTTTAGACTTCCTATTCTTTTGTCCCAAGTTTGTCACATTAGATGGGTAACATGTAAGTAGTTTATTTTACTAATGCAAAATACACTACATTAAAAATCTTCAGTTTCATACATTCACTGAAGTTTGTATTGTAGGGATAAGAAACAAAATAGTCCAAATACATTGTGACTACAGTTCAAGATAAAAACAAGCTCTCACATTACATTAAATCATTAAATCCAGTTCTAAGTTGAGAAGATTTCTTCTGCACTTCGTAACATAAAAGAGTGATTGTGACACCAATGATGATAGTACATCACAAAGCAAGGAGTATAATTAATCCAGTATTTGTGCATTTGAGGGATCCTTCCAAACCCACTCAGTTATTCCCAAAAAACGACTGGAAATTTAAGTCAAATTTCCAATGATCCTTTGAAGGCAACAGTCCTATCTTTCATGTCAGTATCATGGTGAACAGTGAATGAGGACCCCGAGAGTTACCAAATATTTACTGAGCACTGCGCCCAGTAAAACTTCCTTAGTGCTCTTTATAGGCAGTATATCTACTCTTATACAAGTATATAATTTTGAGTTTATAAAAATATTACCTTACACTATGATTCTCCCAATAGACCCTTATCTATAAGAAATGGGTTTAAATACTACCTACAGGGAAAGAAATAGAAAATTTACCTATTTATAAATATATACAACCTGTTTCTGACATAACAAAAACACAGTTAAGACACCCACCTGATAACCCACAAATTCCTCCAGTTTTATGAACTAATTATTGTCTTCAACTAATAACTGTCCTCAACTAATGACACTGAATGAATACTTTCTTCGTTGAATGATCCATGAAACCAACCGTAATCAGTTTCTGCCAGAGGCTTCCTCATAAGAAGTTAAAATGCTACAAGTCCCAAAGGGTAATATGCAAACACATCAGCCCTGTTCTTGATTTCATGGTTATACATTAGCATCCTCAAACCAACCTTCAAACTACTCCCCCAACCCCACCCCATTCCCCATCACCCCCAAGCCTAAGAACTTGTGTTGGCCTGCGTTACAATTGTAGGTGAAAAAATAATAGAGTTTTAAGCCATACTTTTCTCAAGACCCCCCACAGATCTACCCTACATCATACTGAAGCATACCCCTGGTAGTTTATAATAGTATAATATCGACTGGCATCTTCACATTTCTCTAACCTTTGGGTTGTTTTAACTACCACTACCCTTTCAGATCTTTGGCTTTAAGAAGTAAATTTTGAGTTTTGCTTCACGACGCTTAAAGATTTCATTTCAATTATCCTGGATGAAACAAGAATTAGAGATGTTTCAAGTCTCCAAATAGCATATAGTTCAACGTGACAGAATGTGGAAAACAGATATTTAAACAGGCATAATTGTTAATGATCTCTTAGATCAGTTTTATAGTCTATGAGATATATAGACTAGTTCCCAAGCCCTAAAATGTAACAAACAGTGAAAATTTGTTACAAGTCTACTCCAGACCAAAAGGCTAAAAGTTTCAAAATATTATTATTATACAGCAATCTCTTTATAAAAGTATTTCCTTTTCCCCATCCTCCATTCTACAGGCCAACAGGAATTAAGATGGCAAGACTCTAAGCTGTACTGCTTCGGGACTTTGTTCAGTTCCCAAACACGCTGAAGGCCCTAAACTTAAGACCTATGAGGTTTGCATGGACCACTGCTTCTGCTTAAAGTGGGCTCAAAAAAAAAAAAAAAAAAAAATTCCCTGACTATTCCATTTAAAGTTGGTCCCCACTGTTTCTCGGTATAGCTCTAGAACTGAGAAGTATATCTGCTCAACATACGTTTATCACATGAATGATTTTTGCTCCCATAAAGTGGTCATTGATAACAGATGAAGTCTATGAATATATGAGAGCTAAATCCCATGCCAGGCCTCTCTGTATATAAGGTTAATAAATTTGAGCAATAATCCTTCAAGATTTAATCTAGACTAGTTGATCATATGGGTTGTTTAACTGTTGGGAGACCAATTATAATCATTCACATAGTGAAAATATCACTGCTTGGGCTAGGCTAATATATTCTTTTTCTTTCATTTTCTTTTATTTAAAAACACAACACATAATATACTTTCTTCCCTAGAAAGTCTCATATTGCCAACTATTATATTACTTTTGCTTTTGATGGTAGACCCAAGTTTCAAAAACCAAACAAAAAAAATCAGCAGCAAAAGAGGGGAAAGACATGGCTAGATACATGGCACTGAAATCTCACAGATATAAATTTATAGGAAAAAACTATTTGAAACCAACTTTAATTTTGTTTTAATGAATTAACATACCTTGCATCAAGCTGTAACCGAGTCTTTATAAGCCAAATGGGGTTGGTCGCTGTGATTGCAGTAAAACCTAAACAAACATGTTTAAAATGAACTCTGGTAAAAATGAAGCATATACTATTAAACTTTAAGGTTTTAAAAATCATACAAATCTATATTAAAGAAAATGTATAAACTATTAATTGATGTATGCTATATACCTTTATTTTACAAACACATACAACCATGAACATTTGTAGTTTATTTCCAATCTACATTCTCAAATTCTGACCATAACTAAAAAATTATTTTAAGAGCAAAATCTGGTAATATATAAATTCCTCTCCCAACATATTCAGAATATTCTCTGGGGCGCCCTCTACACTCTAAGATAAATTTAGAAACCCACTTCTACAAATATATAGAAATTTGGTGTGTTCTAGGGCTTTTTAGCATGCAAACTCTGCAACAGCTACTTGAGGTCCAAATCCCTATGTTAAAAGTGGATTCTACCTAAAGGTCAGCATTTACTATATTTGATCTTAGGTTGGCTATATAACAGAAAGGACTGTTGTTTGCCTTTATGAATGCCTTATATGAACATATACTTACTAATACTGTTATAATAACGGTATCACAGAAGTAAGGTTTCTGTTAAGGTTAATAGGACAGATCTATTTTAAACACATACAAAAACTCAAAAGTTCAAAAAGTTACACAATGGAACTTCCCTCTCACTTTTATAGACACTGAAGAGAGAAACTCAGAGTAGAAGGTAGTTCTAGTTTACTTTAAAACCTGAGTACTATGTACTATCAGTGCAGAAGGGTGGTCTCCTAAGATGGCTCATTCCAGTTAGTAAATTAAGATCTCTGGAACAGTTGTTTCTAGACTAGTGCTTATCTTTTACTTTCTATCTTCCTACTGTTACAGAAAAATAGCACATGAAATGCAATCTTGGTAACGGGAATTTATGAAAATTGCTTCATCTATACAAAACGGGGTTTTAATATATTGCTTGTGAACATTTAAGATCACTACACATACTTCAAAGAACTACTTACATCAAACTGTATTTATTCAATTGGCCCTTAGATTCAGTGAAAACTTACATGCAGAAATGTCTAAGGATCTTAACTATTTTAATTCTTTCTATCAAATAATAGGCAGGTGAAGCACATTGTGTTTAGAAAGGTGGAATATAACCAGCACATTTAATATGAGTAAAGTTATTTCAGGAAGAAAAACACTGTGGTGCACTTTAAAATAATTTGTTTTTTAAGTTATCATAATAGTGCAGAACCAATCATAAACCTTTTCTTGGCTTTCAAAGTCAATATAGGTATATCTAAAATGCAAAATAATTTTACTAAATTGTTTACAAAGCAGAATTTGGTCTCATAGGTTCTTTTCCCTTCCATAATGTCAGATAATTAGCTAACTCAAATTTTATTTCCTTAATCCACTGTTTAACACCACAGAAATAGCCAGATGTCTCACAAAGGGATGCTTAAATTATATCTATTTATAAAACATGAATAATGGAATAAAAATTTGGTTTGGTAACTCCTTTCACTATTTTGGAACAGTTCTATAGTCTCCATTTCTCTCAAGTGTTTTTAATACTACATACAGATGTATAAAACTAGTACGGGACCAACAATTTTGTATGCGCCAGTATTAAAATAATAAAAATTTAAGTATTGGACAGGTTATCAGGAACATTTTTAAATAAGAGTTTCTTTTCATATATAAATTCTTGGTAAAAGGAAAGGAGAAGAAAAATATGAATCTGTTGGATCTGTTTAAATATTTTATTTGGAAAAGATTTTTCTTATGTCCTGGCTTAAATGAGAATAAAGCTAAAGAATTTTTTTTTCTTTTCTTGACCTTCATTTTCCTAACTGAAAAACTCAAACTAAATACATTCAAATTACATTTTAAAGCAAATGTCCACCAGACATCAGTAATCTGGCTATATCCCTTATTTAATGATTCTTTGTTTTTAAACCTAAATATTTGTATTAGCTAAATGTCTGTATAGTAATATTAGGGGGCTTATTAGTGAAAGGCTGCAAAGCAGCACAAGGCAACAAAATATTCTGCATTATTCACAATGGTTTTATTAATTATCCTGTGGAAATTAAGAAAAAAAATTTGCTTTTCATTAAATTTTGAAAGTCTAAAACTGGGAATCCTTACACCAAACTTTAAAAAAAAATGGCCTGTCTAGGTAAAAATCTCAATCTACTATACTTTATTTGAAAAGATGAACATCAAAGTTTTTTTTTAAAAAATAGAAGTTCTATTCCTAAAAATATTAGTACCCAAGCTTAATACTCTTCCAAGTCACAAAATTCCTCAATTAAAGGCTGAAAAAACTCCATATTGTAAACTTTAAAATACTGCAATATTTATAAATATTACTAGAAATGAATTTTTCAAATATCCATGAATAAAATTTTTAATTATTTTCTGTACATATTAATGAACAATGACAGGACGCAAACAACAGGTATTTCTCACTTAACTAAAATTCATTTCCATATACAAATTAATCTATGGGACAGGAAACATTAAAATTCAGGTCAGAATGTTGTCATCTCATCGCTCTATAACTGTTACTATCAGTAACTTGTGCTTACTAGAGTTGTTCTGGCTCAACTCTCCCAATAATAAGCCAGCTTTTAATAAAGACACTAGCCTAAATGCCAGCAAACCATTACATTAGACAGAATCTAGGCATAACCCACAGGTTTTTAGCTACTGTCTTCACCATAGTTAAAACTCTGGTCGGTCCTAGAATTTTATGCTATTACATTCTCTTAACCACAGACACTCTACCTAATAAACTAACTAGACATTAAGCTAATTAAACCTATAAAAATATAATCTATTAATTCAAGAAATGAAACAAGTGGGAAGAAGCAAAAATTTATCACTAACTTAATTATATATGGTAAGGCAATTTGAAGTTGGCCAACAGTCAAAGCTAAACAGATCTTTCTACTTCTAAGACAAACATATACAACGATACTGGGGATAGTTTCCCTGAAATTTAGAAATTTACTATTACTTTTTATTTTGGCATCTAAATTTTGTGAAATTTTGATAATATCCTAATTCACATTAATATTCGGAACACCCTGTTAAACATTAGAACTGACTTAGAGGCATATGAAGGATCTATTTGTAGGTTAAGAAGAATTAATATTGCTGTAGTCCGTGAAAGCAAAGTGGCAGCGTATTGGCCATACTGTTAGTAGTGCGGTTAGAATCTTATTAGTAATTTTTTTAAAACTTTCAAAATGCAACTTTTATTTGCTTCATCTAAGACTCCATCTGTTAATGTAAACCAGATTAACAGAAATCCTGCTTATAGGAAACTTGCTGAAAATGTCTATTTCATTAAGTGAGTGATACCTGTAGTATTGCATTTTTCAGTACTTTTTATTTCATCAAATTCTGTAAGAACAAAGCCCACCTAACCTTCTAAGAGAAACAAATTAAAACTACAAAAAAAAAAAAAAACCCAAAACAATTAAAACTAAAACAGCTCAGATCCCAAATATTCCTACCCTGCATTTATTGGAAAGTAATGGTAGGTATTATAAGATCAATGTTTTTGCAAGAAAGTAGAAAGCTAAGTATCAACAGACAAGAGAATGGAAAGCACTGTATTAGACTTTTAAAATATGTTATGCTAAGCAAAGAGAACTATTTTTCCTAAAAGTTGTAGGATGGTATGATACCATTTACAACTATGTATATCTTAAATACTGTCAACAAATTCTTTCGAGGTCAAGGCTATTATGGCCAAGCTGAAGACCCCAGGCTTTTATTACACGATGACTGAAAAGTTACCCCATTCTTCCTTCTAGAAGGAATATTCTAAAGGGATCAGAATTAAAGTTTTATGAAATACTCAGAACGCACACACAAATTCAGGAAATAAAAGCTCATTTCCCGCCTTCTATTAATTCCACAGCTATTATAAATTCCCAGGGTGTGTTTCTTATAACTAGAGGCTGCAAGAGACGCTCAGATCAGTACTCACGAGGTTTAAGTTAGTCCATATTTCTACAGGAAGTGACCTGCGGATGGGGAGCATGAGATGACACGATCTCACTCTTTTCTCGGGAGAAATGTACAGTAAATGCCTAAAATAGACACAGGCTTTTCTGTATCATAACAACAAGCAGTGACCTCATCAGAAACATGTGTACAAAATGAATCCCATTGGAAGGATTTCAGAAATATTTACTGTGAGATCTAACTTTTTTTGAAAATTTTAAGTTAAAAAACAAAAAGGAATATCAGAATGGGCCATAATTAAAAAAAAAAAAAAAAAATGCACCGAGTACTGAAAATTCTGCCATCTGCAGCAGTTTCAGAGTCCAAATACTTACCTAAAAGACGAATTTTGCCTTAAAGAAAAAAATGCTAACCTTGTCAAAGGGGAATCTAAGAAAATATTTAGAAGGGATTATCATATCCCATTTTCCTAATCATTATGGATCAGAGGTGAAATCACAATTTTCTATACTTTAGCAGTCAGCTTACTTAGGAAAGCTTTTTTTCTTAGTAAATCTTAAAAAAAAAAAAAAACCCAGAATATTTCGAGTAACATTTTGTAATTATTTATAATTTTTAAAAATTAAAGTATATGTTGCTACAATTGTACCTTTCACTATGGCCAATAATATTGCACATCCATTTTTATGGAATATTTTGGATTATTTTGTATTTAATTTCTTGTGTTCTACAAAACAAAAAACAGGAAGAATGTTTATATACAAACACACAAAACATCTGCCCAACTACCCATTTGGCTGAATAAACTGCCATGGACAAATAAAATATTAAAAAATATATAGGCAAGACAAAATTTCTCTTTAATGAGTAAAAACTTAACCTTTAATAATAAACTTTAAGTCAAACAGAAAAATGTATCTTGAAAAGTACAGTGAATGCTATAAGCAAATAAAACCCACTAGGTATGTAGTAAATGTTAAATGATTACATTATTGGTGTTTTAAAAATTAAGCAGTAACTGTCTGAATATATAATCCAATAAAAATCAGAATTCTTTTCATTTAAAAATCTGTAATGTTGTATATAGAAGTCTGTATGTTCCAGATAAAAATTTCTGAAAACTGGGAATTACTATAAAGACACCATACTATTTTTTGTATGCACACTTGTGTCTAGGTATATAGAGAGGGATATGCAAGTTCATTTTAACGAAAACATACAAGTAACCTCGACAAAACAAATACTCTCAGTCTAACAAAGGTTACATGTAGAGAAGGAAAAAAAAAAGCAGATAAAACATAGTCAACATTACTTAATTTTATTAAATAGCCTTCCAGGTGGAAATAATTTTTCCAATTTATACCTTTAAATTTAGGTTTATAAATTCTTATAGTCTTCTCTTGAAACACTCCAACAAACCACAGTAAGATCGACTTCAAATAAACTGTCATTTTGATAAAAAAAAAAAAAGGTTTACTACCTAAACACTTGAGTTCATATGGGTAAAATGCAAAATCAACTGGCTACCTGGAATAAAAATTATGTACAAGGTCTGTTACTAAAATCCTTAATGTGTGTGTTGTTTGATGTGGCAAAATCTTGCAGGCAATATCATTAAACAGTCTATTTTAGTGCACCTTCTGATACCAAGATGACAAGGTTAGCATTTTTTTAATAGCCAGTTAAAAAATGATTTTTCATATGACTGCCTCTAAGCACTTTGCACCCCCAATTCATATTTAGAAGACTTCTAAAAATGATCCTGAAGAAAAACCAGAGCAATCTGGTCTAAATAATTTCAAGAATGAAGGGGGCAAAAGGCTACCTTAATGACTTTGCGTGGGACCATTCAGTTTCACCAACCACGTAGTTATGTATAAAAACTGCGAAGCTAAGTGTTAATGCTCATGAATAGTGCAAGGAAGCTCTCTGAAAGCACAATTCTCAGAAAAATTTAACTGCAAACAAATGGAAGAAGTATTTTCAAATTACACAATTAAGAATATAATGCAATAATCTCTGAGCAATGATAAGACAATCAATTTACAAAAATTCAAGGAATTCAAGGTGGAAAATAGTATCAATATAAAAACAAACTCTGAGTTGACATTTGTACACATTTGAGAGAAAAGTGCAAAATGACAATTCCACTGAAATTACATGACACAAAAATAGTAATAAATTCTGATGAGATGTTTTAATGAAAAAAGATGTTCCATTGGGAATTAAGATATTCTGAAACCCTAAACTTGCACTACTGAATATATAACTATCCTCAACTAAAAATGACTGCTCATCTACTTTCTTCGTCTTCCAAAACAAACAAACAAAAGATTAACATTTCTTTAATAATTTTCTGGGGTTAAAAAACAAACACTGGTAATCCAGAAATATATTCTTAAAGATCCTAATACAGCAGTTATATAGTTTGAAATTTTTACCTTATACCCACTCAAATTTGAAGAGGAAAAATCACATCCATATTCAACATCTATAAAAAGTACATTAAAAAAAATTCTAGTTGTAACTAGATGTCTATGGTACTAAAGAACTAATTCTCAAAATCCAAATCTTTGTAGAGCAACCTACATTCCAAGGGTAAGGTAAGAGAAATTCGCATAAATTATATAACTTGCCCAAGATCTTTCCTCATGGGTAAATAAGAGTATTTCACCACCTTGACCTCTAAGGTTTTTACCTTTCAGCTTTAAAACTTCAATGAGTCAGTGAGCAATTACAAATATAAAAAGCCTTGAAAATAATTTGTGAGGTATATGGTAGATTATACGGCTATTGACCTTTCAGAAATTAGTTATTTCCAACTTACACTTAGTTCGTTAAAGTATGTGGTTCAAATTGATCCAATTTATTTCTAAACAGAAAATGGTTAACAGTTTAAGGCACTCATTATTAAACATGTAACTGATACTCAATTTACTGCTCAACAGTTGATGAAAGTAGTAATAATTTGCTTTTAGTCATAGCATAATTTGGAAATGTGAGGTATGGTTAAATATACAACGAATCTCAGAAAACTGCAGAGAATAAACCAAAGGTCACGGCTTTGTCTAACACGCATTGCAACAAATGATTCCAAAACCAGACTGGTCAAATCAGTCTCCTCGTTTATCTTTAAGGCAGTACAGAGGCCCAGAACTAGTTGCTTTAATTCAGAATCATATATACTCAACAATGATGTTGGAAAACATTTCTATAGCAAGCATGTACACAGAGCCAGTGCCTAAATTTCAAGTACTATCTAGTGTGATTTATATGGAATGCTAAACATATTTTTCAAAATACATACATGACAGTAACTCTCAGGTATCAGTAATACATCACAAAAATTTCAGCATTTGAGCACAGGACAAAATGAATACTTTACCAAGAACTGCCGGCACATTTCAGACAGAAGCCAAAACATGCAGCAAAAAGGGAAAAGGCACTAACAGAAATTGAGGAGAGAAGAGTAAATTACAGCTGCATAACTTATTTATAGTGTAATTATGGTTGGATTCTTTAAACTGTCAAAAGTCATCACTAAATATTCAGTGGACTACACAAGACAATGTAAATATTATATTACCTGTATGCTATCACAAACCCGATTAAAAAATGCCAACTTAAAACAGATTTTAAGTATACCTCCTGATCAAATTTACTGTATATTAATAAATATAAGAGTCATGTACGTAGATGCTAATCAATGAAAAGCACACTGTCTTAACTATATAATGTAAAATCATAATTCAATATTAAGTCTCTAGGTTTTGGAAAATTTTTTGCTTTTTAATATTATATATTCATACCTGCCATTGCAGCTGAAATCATGTGTACCTGGGTAGAATCTGGATCAAATACACCATTCAACTTTTCCTTGCAGTTTGAATAAGCAGCAAAGTATATTGCTCTAAAATAAAGATTTAAATTTTATCAATAAGCATGTTGCATAATTCATAAGATTTAAATGACAAGCAGATTGATCTTTATAATTTTAGAGAAATCTAAAAACAAAGTCTTAGCCACATTCTCATGTAACATCAGGTTAATTTACATATTTTTTCCATGTAGATTGATGTTTTGCATTGACTCATTAAAAGACAAACTTCAATGTAAAGTTCCTCAAATGTAAAGCATTCTCCAACAAAAAGACCCCTACCACCCTGACCCAATACTTTTACAGCAACTGACTGAATCAAACAAAAACTATTTGTATAAGATTTTGATGTTTGGAAACATATGAATAAGGCTGGAAGGCTTATGTAATGGTAAGGTTAAATTAAACACACTTGAGTAAATATGGTATGAGAACTTAAAAAAATTGCTAAATATATAATTAGTTGATATTAATACAAAGATATTACCATTAACATATAATGTGTTATATATATATAAAATATACTTTTTTTTAAGTGGGGAGAGGGTGGTAGAACTGACCCAATTCATCAAGGTACGTTAAACAATTGAGATACTGTGGTATATTCTAATCTATATTATATACACACAGAGTAATTCACAGTATCCTTAAACAGACAAAATAATTCCAGAAGAAATGAGCCCCATCAGGTCATGTCTTCTGTCTGTAAATATTCCATTAAATCTGTAAATATATCCCCTCTTAACTTATTGACTATGATTTCATGCATCCCAACGACCTCTTCATTGTTTAGCCTTCCAGGCTTTGAATTACTTGCTTGCCGTATCAAATCCTTTTATTTCCCAACAACCCTGGTTATTTGTCCAATAAGGAATATAACAGGTAAACAAGTACAAATGAGGACAGTTTCACTGTTGCGCCTTTTTTTAATGTGCTGAAGAAAAATAGGAAGCTAATATAATTTAAAATGAAACATTCTACATTATGAGCAAGAAAAACAAATAGAATACATTTAATGATGACAAATTGTGAAGATATATAAACAGCACATTCCTAAAAATGAGTAAGAAAGAACTTTTAATGAGAAGATAGGCAACGAATATATACAGGTAATTCACAGTAGAGATACACAAATTGCAAATCATTACAAGGAGGAGTTTGTGACTGCACCCAAAATTAAACAAATGTATATTAAAACAGTGAAAATCAGGGCACCTGGGTGGCTCAGTTGGTTAAGTGTCTGCCTTCAGCTCAGGTTGTGATCCTGGGGTCCTTGGATTGAGCCCTGCGCTGGGGTCCCCGCTCAGTGGGGAGTTGGCTTCTCCCTCTCTGGCCCTCCCCCCGACCCCACGTGTGTTTGCTAACAAATAAATAAAATCTTAAAAAAAAAAAAAAAATCACACACACACAGTGAAAATCATGTTTAGTCTATTTGGCAAGTATTAAAAGACATGAATAGTAACCAACATGAGTAATATGTGATAAAGAGTAACTAATTCACTACTTGAGAATAAAAATATGGGATGCCTTTTCAGAAGGCAATTGAGCAATATTCATAAATTTCAAATGTGTATATGCTCTTTTATACAGAAATTCTACTTATAATGAACTATTCTAAAGAAATACACTTGCTTAAGTAGTCAAAGACGAGGTATAGCATGTTCACAAAACTGTTCCCAACGGACAAAATGTGGAAATAAACCTAAAGGTTTATCAATAAGGAAATACTTATTAATGATAGAATAGCCATACTATGTGATTAAACAAAAACTACATATTTTGATGGAAAAAGCTTGAAGACAAATTTGTTGAAATATTTTAATATGATTCAATGATTGAATATAATTAAAAGTATACATTTTATGCATTTTACATAGACAATAAGCCAGAAAAATTAACAGAAGACTATACACACCAAACTGTTTATTAATAACAGTTATCTGTGCAGAGAAGAGTAAGTGCCTGTGAGAAGGCATATAACCTGAGAGTTGATGTGTTTAAGATGGAATGTCAACCTTTATGCTATACATTTTTTTTAGTTTTTACAGTAAGGATAAAATTTTTTTTTAATTAAAGATTTTATTTATTTAGTTGACAGAGAGAGAGAAAGCACAAGCAGGGTGAGTGGCAGGCAGAGGGAGATGCAGACTCCCCACAGAGCAGGGGGAGCCTGATGCAGGACTCGATCCCAGGACCCCGGGATCATGACCTGAGCCGAAGGCAGTCACGATAAAATTTTTTAAAATTTGAGACAGAGCGTGCGCGTGTGCAAGAGGTTACACAAGTGCGCAAGTGGAGGAGGAGCAGAGGGGAGGGAGAAGGAGAGGGAGAATCTCGAGTAGACTCCATACTGAGCACAGAGCCCTAAGCCGGGCTCCATCTCACGACCCTAATTATCATGACCTGAGGTGAAACCAAGAGTCCTACGCTTAACCACCTGAACCACCCAGGTGCCCCAAGGTAATTTTTTAAGAGTGAAAAGAGCCCATAAAAAGTTGAAACCCAATAAATAATAAGACATATATCTAGTACATGGGATAGAGCCATTTTTCACTCTGAATGGGAACTCTAGTATTTGTTTATGGAAGAAGTAAATCTAAGATAAAAGGGTATCAGAGAAAAATGACTAATGTATTAATAAGGCCTTTCTGGCTCTTTTAATAGGGAATGAAATTATTCTGTTTAGCTTGTCCTCTAAGCCAAAAAACAGGGTTAGTTTTTTTTTTTTTAAGATTTTATTTATTTCTTTGACAGAGAGAGACACAGCGAGAGAGGGAACAAAAGCAGGGGGAGTGGGAGAGGGAGCAGCAGGCTTCCCACTGAGCAGGGAGCCCGATGCAGGGCTCGATCCCAGGTCCCTGGGATCATGACCTGAGCCGAAGGCAGATGCTTAACGACTGAGCCACTCAGGCGCTCCAAACAGGGTTAGTTCTAAAGATCTAGGTATTCCTCTTTCTCACTGTTGGTTCCCTTAGTTTGTTCTTTGCCTTTTGAACTTGGTACAAAAACAGCATCACGATGATTTCACTAAGAGCTCTTCACACAAGGCAAACTGCCCAAGCTTTCACACGGTTACTGACACCTGTTTTTATACCATGGTGCTTTATCCTTACCATCTTGACTTCTTTTCAGCATCTTCCATCATTAAGCTTGAAACAAGAAAGATTGCCAAGATTTTAACTTAAAAAAATTCTTTTTACCTGGAAGGAGCCACCCCCACTAAATTGGGACCTAATCCTCTGAACAAGGAACGAGGCCCTTCTTTTTCCAAGATCACTCTGAAAGAGAAAAATATTTAGAAAGGAATGTCCTTCAACAAAGTCTAATACTTTATTTGTATAGCAAACTTAAGACTTTTAAACCTGTAGGTTTCTGCTATAATGTTGTACTGCTCTGGTCAGTTTTTCTTACTTATGAAAATCTGTTTTTCTTGACATAGCATAAATTGATAATCTTAAATGATAATAAAAAGAATTCCAATCAGATTCTTTTCTAAAAGTTTTAAAGACTACAGTATAATTTCTACATTTTTATATAATCATGCTACTCTTATCTTCAATATCCTCCATTTTACAATCTTTACCAGCAAATTCAATTCCCAATAAGAAATGTAGTTCACCGTCTAGTATTTGAGGTCCTTTCTTGGTATCAGACAACTCTCTCAGTAATACAGCATTATCTCATTCAACCATTCCAATGAAATGGTGTCAAAATCTGGCATGCTAACCTCCTTTAGGGTACTAAAATGGTTAGCCTGTTACCATTTCTCCCTCTATTCAGTTAACATTTACTATACTGAATACTTAACTGTATAAAAACTAAGCAGAGTAAAAAGATAGAAAAGAAGGTGAGACACCTGCCATTGAGAAATGTGATGTGCAGTTGTGGAAAAAAGAATTATATTGAAACAAATAATTCAACAGACTGTATTAATAAGCAAATACTATACAAGCTAGATACATATGCCCAGCAGGGAAAGGAAGAGGCATGTCTAAGTCATGGAAGGCTTTCTGAGAGTTATTAAATTAAGCTTGGAAGTGAGGAGAAGCAGAAACTGGAAAAAGTATTTTAACTTAGAGTTAGGTTAGAGCAGTGGTTCTGAACGAGCTATATGCTTAAGAATGATTTCTTTAAAGACAGCTGAGCATAATGGTTAAATAAGGGCCTGAGATACGGGGCCAGACTTCTTAATATGAAGATCAATTTTGGTAAATGACTAGCTATAAGAACATAAGGTAATAACTTTTATCTTATCCTTATTTTCATTAGCAGTAAACAGAAAAACAGTACTCTTTTTCTGGGTTGTTGTGAGGAATAAATAAATTAATATATAAAGAACTTAAAAGAGCATCTGGCTCCCTGTAAGTACTTGATAAATCTTAGTATTATGATTACTACTGGAGCATTTGTTTAAAATGCCTATTTCTCTGATCTCACCCTCCAAGTATTCTGATTCAACAGGTATAGGACAATGCTCAGTAATTTGCATTTTTACCATGCTTCCAGATTGACTGACACAGGTGATACAGAACCACTTCTGATAAAACCAGATTGGACAGAAGCAGAGTTCAAAATAACAAATTATAGAGAACATTCTGAAGATTCAGTGTTTGTTAGACTTTCCTGTATCATAAATCTCTTTGAAGAATTAAGGTAAATGTTCTTTAAAGATTTTATTTATTTATTTGAGAGAGAAAATGAGAGAAAGCCTGGGGGGGGCGGTGGGGATCAGAGGGAGAAGGAAACTCTCCATTGAGCAGGAGCCCGACGTGGGACTTGATCCCAGGACTCCAGGATCATGACCTGAGCCGAAGGCAGTCGCTTAACCAACTGAGCCACCCAGCTGCCCTGGTAAATTTTCTTTGAAAAACTGGGTCACATTGGGCTCTGTGCTCCACAGGTAATTTGCTTGAGATTCTCTCCCTCTCCCTCTGCTCACACTCACTCATGCTCTCTCTCTCAAATAGATAAATAAAATCTTTTAAAAAATACACATTTGCAAACACAATTTTGCATACAATTTCATGTAATTTATAGATCTCTTGAAGTTCACCCATGAGCCACCTAGGAAATCTAAGAGCCCAGGAGGGATTCCTAAAGTTTGTGGTTAAGCCATGAAACACTTCACTCACTAGAATGGTTACAATAAAAAAAGTCAGACATAGTAAAACAAGGGTTGGAGGGGGTGCCTGGGTGGCTTAGTCTCTAAAGTGTCCGACTGCTGATCTCAGCTCAGGTCTTAATCTCAGGGTTGTGTTAGCCCCGAGTTGGGCTCCATGCTGGGCATGGAGCCTACTTAAAACCAAAAAACCAAAAAACTGGGGTTGGTGAGGATGTGCAGAAATTGAAAATTTCATTCATTGGTGATAGGAATGTAAAATGATGCAGCCACTGGAAAACAGTGTGATAGTTCCTCAAAATGTTAAACATAAAGTTACCATATGACCGAGAAACTCCACTCCTAGCATATCCCTCAAAATGAAAACATACGTCTCTATAATAGCATCATTCAGAATACTCCAGAAGTGGAAACAAACCGGTGTCTATCACTGATGAGTGGATAAACAAAATGTGATATACATCCATATAAAGCAATACTTGACAATAAAAAGATACTTGTTAAAACATGGATGGATCTTGACAACATTATGCTAAGAGAAAGAAACCAATCACAAAAGACTGTGTATAATTCCATTTATATACAATGTCCAGAATAAGCAAATCTGTAGTGACAGAAAGCAGATTAGCAGTTGCCTAGGGCTAAGGGATGGAGGGAGAGGGAAGGGAGAAAATGAGAAGTGACTGCTAACAGCTAAAGGTTTATTCTGTGATGATGATGAAAATGTTCCAAATTTAGAAAGGTCATAATGGTTGCACAACTCTGTGGATATACTAAAAACAAATTGTACACTTTACATGGGTTAATTTTATGGTATGTGACTTGTACCTCAAGTAAAGGTGAAAGGAAAAAAAAAAGCCATGAAACAGATTGCTTGGGACAGAGCCCCTGAGTAGGGTAACAATGGGAATGAGAGTAAAGAGATGTTAAGGCAGAGAATGCAAACTTAGAAGTAACCTACACACTAATGACAGGTGAAACATGTTAAACTAACTCTTACAAGAGGAACAGAAAAACTGAGAAACTAAAACAAAGCTGAGAGGGATTCCTACTACTGCTGAGAAAAATCAGAGATGGCAAAACCACTGAAAAATAGAATAAAAAATACAGTACTATGGTGGGGAGCCTGGGTGTCTCAGTTGGTTAGGCATTTGACTTGATTTCGGCTCAGGTCATGATCTCAGGGTCAGGAGATCGAGCCCCACAGCGGCTCTGGACTCAGCTCGGAGTCTGCTTGTCCCTCTTCCTCCCCCTCTGCCCCTCCCTCTGCTCATGCACACTCCTGTTCGCTCTTAAATAAATAAATATATATATATAGTACTGTCACAAAGGTCAAAGAAAGAAGTTTAAGGAGAGGTAATCAGTGGTAATAAAAGTCAAAATCATGATACTGAAATGATCTATTATTAATAGGTAAAATGTTCTATTTTTATCAAGATGGTATTATTAATCAGATTGATAATATTCTTATTCATCAGATATTCATCTATAATTATAGCATTTTATTTATTTAAGAAGGAGGGAGGGGCAGAGGAAGGAGGGGAGAAAGAGAGAGAGAGGGAGAGAGAGAGAGAATCTCGAGTAGGCTCCACGCCCAGCACAGAGCCCGTCATAGGCTACATCTCACAACCCTGAGCAGAAATCAAGAGTCAGACGCTTAACCGACCGAGCCACCCAGGTGTCCCTATAATTATGGCACTTTAATCCAAAATTGTTAACAATTTTATTCTACCTATCATGTACTAGGTAAATTTGAAAAAAGAAAAGACTGATGAAATCTTTTGGTAACTAAGGTAAACACACAGTATTGACTTTATTTGCTGCCACAAAATAAACACTACTGAACTAAGCTCAAATAGATGATGCACTAGTGACCTGATAAGGCAGATACAAGTTACATACCTAAGTGTGAACATGTAAAACGTACTTTCAACAGTTTTGACTTTTCAAATCCAATGTGCGATATATAATGAAGTATGGTAAAATGTAAAAACAAAGTATTTTTCAAACCACCAAGAAATGTCAACCAAACACTGACTCACCTCTTAAAATCAGCAGAACACTGCTTTAAATTTCAGTTATGTTTAGGTTATATAAAAATCACAGATTGCCATTAAGTGGATGTACTTACTGTGTCAGTACTTGGAAAATTAAAAAACACACAAAAAGAATTGGCTTTTAACACTATCACATTTCAAAGACAAATAATCCAAAACAGAATACCTAAAATACTTTCAGAAAACAAATCCACTGAATAAATATAGAAAAATTTTCCAAATACACGATTTGGAAATAATATTACATTTTATATTATCCAACTAACTGTTCCTCTCCATTAGGAATTATCATTTCTGATGAATATAATTCAGAGTAACTCTGTTAAGTTTGTAAAAAGCCTTTTTAAAGTGGCAGAATATAAACAAACAAAACACATGGGTATCATTAAGGTAAACAGACTTAAAAAAAATTCACGAATACTGTGCTCTCACTTTAGGCAATGGAGAGGTCCAGGAGACACTACTCGGTTGACACTGGCTCCAGCCATGGTGTTCAACTGAACTTCAGAGATATAAAGTGTCACAGAAGAGGACTGCAGCCGTGTTTTTACAACTTCCAGTGGACATGTCAGAATAGCTCCTACTGTACCACCACATCTACAAAAAACGAAAAGAACAAATCCACTTACTCCATAAATTAGTACACACATTTAGACTGTAAAATGAGTGGGCAACTGGAGCTTCACCAAAGTATTAAAGTTTTAAGTTTCATTTTAAAAGACTAAACAATTTTAATGTTTCATTTATTTGACTGCATACAAACACCTTTAGTAGCTAAAAAGAACTGAGTTTAATATTTACCTAGCAAACATAATTAAAGAAGACTCCAAATGGCGGGTACTGTTACTAGAATCTACTGGGAAGTCACATCATAGTTTTAAATAGTATCCTAAGGGTTTATCTGGTGCTCCTCACCTAGATATTATTTGTGGTTGTTGACACCTAGGATCCACTATGAGGTATATCCTATCTCTCAAATTCCTCTATCTTTCAAAACTCAAGATATGTCTTCAGAGCAATAAAATTAATCACTGACAGATAATCATGTTTCCTATTTTAAATATTCAAATACTCAGAAGTGTTTTACCTACAAAAAAAAAAAAGACATTTGTATCTCAACGTCAGTATTATTAGACCCTCATGTAGGAATCTGTACAAGGTAGGTAGGCTTAGCTAGAATAATCCAATTTATATAGAAAAACTGATCACCAAAACAAAATACAAGCTCTTAACAAATGACATCATTTAAACTTTTTCAAGGAATGTAAGAGATAGGCTGGAGTAATTATTCTTTTTAAATTCAAGAATGGGAAATAATTTTCTCTTAAAGCACTAACAGCTACCAAGTGAAACCTTGTGAAACCTTGAGAACTGCTTTTTAACCAGAGGAAAATCACTCAGGAGAGCTCTCACCATACAGTCTAAGAGAAAAGCAGACTAAATCAGAAGTAACCTGGACCTCCATGGGCATTAAAGGAAGAAAAAGAAAAGCAGCCCACCACAGAAATATATATACTAAACAATTTTACCTCCAGAATTAAAAAAAAAAGTGTGTGTGCGTGTGTATGTGTGTGTGTACATATATATATCACATAATAAAAAAAGGAGGCATGGCATCAGTATTACTCCCAATAAAATTTAAGACAAATCATTAAATAAGGTAGAGTATTTCATACTGATCTAACAGTACCTGCCATCAAGAAAATAAAACTGAAACAGATTTTATGCAACAAAAGTGAAAAATACGACTTAAAAATAGAGAACATCCATATGTAAAATAAAACTTGACTCTTACCTCATACCGTATTTAAAATTTAACTCAGAATGAATCATAGACCTAGATGTAAAACATGAAACTGTAAAACTTCTAGAAGAAAACATGTGGAGAAAAATCACCAACTTTGGGCTAGATAACAAAAAAAAGCATGAATCATAAAAGAAAAAAAATGATAAACTGGACTTTACCAAAATTAAAACCTGTCACTTTGAAAGAAACTGTTAAGAAATGAAAAGACAAGCCTACAGTCTGAGAGAAAATATTTGCAAAACACACATCTGATAAAGTGCTTATATTCAGAAACACAACTCAATGATAAATACAACCCAGAAGAAAGACTGGAACAAACACTTCACCAGATATATGGATGCAAGTAAACATTGAAAGATTTTTTCAAAATCATTTATCAGGGAAATGCATATTAAAACCACAACAAGCTATGATAACAATACATCAATTAATGGCTAAAACTAAAAAGAATGAGAAAGCCAAGTGCTGATAAAGACCAACTGGAAATCTCATACATTGCTGATGGGAATGCAAAATGGTAGTCATTTTAGAAAACGGTTTTTAAAAAAACACAAAAAACCCCAGAAAAAGCAGCTTGTTGGTTTCTTACAAAGTCCCACTCTTAGGTATTGACTCAGGAGAAATCCAGATATATGTCTGCACAAAAACCTGTCCTGAATATTTACCGCAGCTGTACTCTTAATAGCCCAAAACTGGAAATCTAAATGTCTTATCAACTGAAAGGATAAACAAGTTATGGTATATCATCATAATAGATTATCACATTCTGCAAAAAAAAGGCTCAACAATCTGGATGAATCTCAAAAGCATTATGCTAACTGAAAAAAGTCAGGGACAAAAGGCTTTTAGTTTCAGGACATTTTCATTTTAGTGACTTTTTGGAAAAGGCAAAACTAGAACAGAAATGAGATCAGTGATTACCAAGAGGCAGTGAAGTACGTAGGAACGGACTACAAAGGGCAGGAAGGAATTCTTAGGATAAAAGAAATGTTCTATATCTTGATTCTAAGAGTAAGTTACAGTACCTTATACATTTACCAAAACTTACTGAACTATACACTTAACAAATTTTATTTGGTGAATTTTATTGTATACCCTGATAAATCCAATGAAAAAACCGAGTATGTGAAAACTAGTAAGAAATGTTAAGTATATGAACTACCTAGAATTAAATACAATTACATTATGTTAAAATTTTAAGCATAATAAACTTAATGTTTCCTAAAAACTCCACTTAGGAGTTTTAAATAGGAAATTTAAAAAATTAAACCCCAAAAAGAAAAGATCAAAACCATAATCATATTGTCAGAAATTAATACATCAATTAGATAAATAGAAGGGCTATAAAGGATTTGAAACAAAATTAACTAGATCGAGGGAGACTCCATACTCAGGAAATAAGGAACAGGTTTACTTTTTAAACAGCTACAGAAAAGGCTTAAAACCTCATTACAGCTGACTCCCAAACATGGGGGTTAGGGGAACCAACCTCCCCTACCCCATGTAGTTAAAAGTCCACATATAACTTTTGACTCCCCCAAGACTTAACTTCTAATAGTCTACTGTTGACTGGAAGCCTCACCAATAACATAAACATGTAACATATATTTTGTATATGTATTATATATTGTATTCTTACTATAAAGCTAAAGAAAATGTTATGAAAATCATATAAAGAAACATTTACAGTACTGTATTTATTAAAAAAAACCTGCATATAAGTGGACCCTATCAGCTCAAATCCATGTTGCTTAAGGGTCAACTTTATATAAAAGACCACAAGGAAAATCTTTAACAGAAGCCACAAGTTTGTTTCTGTTAATTGTTGAGGGCTAAGTGGCAAGAAATGTGAATCACAGTACAAGCTGTAGCATATGCTGCAGAACTCAAGACAGCCTGTGCAGTAAAACACACTGTATACACACTACAATACTGATTTACACTCAATAAATCATACCTGTTTTAATTTGAATTTACCTGGGTTTTTTTTTAAGCTGTTTAGTATATTTACTTTATTATTACATTTATTGGAATAAAAACCAAATAGGCCCAAAATTTATAATACCCATGCATATGTATTTTGGTTTTATATTCTATGAAACATAAAAAATGTTTTCTTGGTTTTCACAATGAACATGAATTATTTCTATAATTAAGAAATAAAAACAGGGGTGCCCAGGGGCATCTGGGCAGCTCAGTCAGTTAAGCATCCGACTCTTGGTCTCAGGGTTGTCAGTTCAAGCCCCACATTGGGCTCCATGATGGTCAGGAAGCCTACTTAAAAACAAAACGGGCACCTGGGTGGCTCAGTTGTTAACCGTCTGCCTTCAGCTCAGGTCATGATCCCAGGGTTCTGGGATCGAGCCCCACATCAGGCTGTCTGTTCAGCAGGAAGCCTGCTTCTCCCTCTCCCACTCCCCCTGCTTGGGTTCTCTCTCTCGCTGTCAAATAAATAAATAAATAAAATCTTTAAAAAAACAAAAACAAAACAAAACAAAATCCAAGAGCACCTGGCTCGCTTAGTCAACGGGGCGTGCGACTCTTGATCTCAGGGTTGTGGGTTCAAGTCCCATGTTGGATGTGGAGATTACTTAAAAATAAAATCTTAGGGCGCCTGGGTGGCTCAGTTGGTTAGGCGACTGCCTTCGGCTCAGGTCATGATCCTGGAGTCCCGGGATCAAGTCCCGCGCCAGGCTCCCTGCTTGGCAGGGAGTCTGCTTCTCCCTCTGACCCTCCCCCCTCTTGTGCTCTCTCTTTCTCTCTCTCAAATAAAATCTTAAAAAAAAACACTTAAATTAATTAAAAAAAAAAAGAAAAGTTAGCACATAGGCCAAGATTCCTACCCCGTCACTCCTCACTGCAAGAAAATAAACCTATTACATAAAGAAAACAATCTACTGGGGAAAACAGCCTTGTTGTAAAGATGGTATATGATATGACCCATGTAAAGTATTTCATGACACGGCACATAGAAAATGCTCAGTAAATATTAGCTACTGAAGTTATCAGCATCTATTACAGATAGCAGTAATGGAAATTCCAACATAACTATTACAAATACTTTATGGCCAGACCACAGACAAAATATATACTATGATTCCTTAAAAAACAATTCAAGTAATGAGGATCCTAATTATACAGAGCTGGGGGATGGTTTAAGTGGGTGCACACACAAGCACTTAGGCTGTCCTGAAGCAGTTTTATGTTATGAAATTCAATAGGTATGTAAGCATAGGGGTGACACTCCAGTATCTCTCATGCTGTTTTTACCTTAAAGTCATTTAAAATTATTATGCATGCTGAAATCATTAGAATTGATGCAGAGAACAAAACTACTGGAGTCAAACATTTAAAATCTCACCTTATGAAAACAGGATTAACTTCAGATTATTTCTTCTCCGTGTCAAAAATCTCATTGTTTAAAGAAATACGCCACAAGGACAGAGAGAACCAGGGGAGAAATGAACAAGACTCAAGATTTCAAGCAAAGAAGCATATAGGAAGGGGTAACTGACTTATTAGTAAAGAGGCAAAAAGAATTGAAGAAGGAAATACCAAAGAAAAGCCCTGCAGAATCTCAGAGGCCTAAAGATTAGTGCACAAAGTATTCAAGATGGAGGTGAGGCAAAGAACTGAAAACAGGACTGGCTGATAGGCTATATAGCGAAGGTGGGATACCCAGGTGGATCTACCCCAACCCTCACACACTGGGTAAAACTATATTCCCAGGCAGAAGCTTAATTCTCTAAAGAACATGAGAATTCAAGAATCTCTGAGGTCAGGTTTCACA